TAAGTGTATAAGTCCTGCCCTGTTTTGTCTTTCCAAAACGCAGCACCTCACCTTTATCTAAGTTAAAGTCCATCTGCCACTCCTCAGCCATTGGCCCATCTGATCAAGACCTCTTTGTACTCTGAGATAACTTTCTTCACTGTCCACTACATCTCCAATTTTGGTGTCATCTGCAAACTTACTAACCATACCTCCTATGTTTGCATCCAAATCATTTATGTAAGTGACAAAAACCAGTGGACCTAACACCGATCCTTGTGATACACAAGGTCACAGGCCTCCAGTCTGAAAAGCACCCCTCCACCAGCACCCTCTGTCTTCTACCTTTGAGCCAGTTCTGTATCCAGATAGCTAGTTCTCCCTGTATTCTGTGTGATCTAACCTTGCTAACCGGTCCACCATTAGGAACCTGTCGAATGCCTTACTAAAGTCCATAGAGATCATGTCCACGGCTCTACCCTCATCGATCCTCTTCATTACTTCTTCAAAAAACTCAATCAAGTTAGTAGGACACGATTTCCTATGCACAAAGCCATTTTGACTATCCCTAATCAGTTCTTGCCTTTCCAAATACATGTGAATCCTGTTCCTCAGGATTCCCTCCAACCCACTTGCCCACCACCAATGTCAGGCTCCCCGGTCAATAGTTCCATGGTTTTTCCTTACCATCTTTCTTAAACAGTGGCACCACATTAGCCAATCTCCAGCCTTCTGGCACCTCGCCTGTGACTATCGATGATGCAAATATCTCAGCAAGGGGCCCAGCAATCACTTCCCTAGATTCCCACAGAGTTCTAGGATATTCCTGACCAGATCCTAGGGATTTATCCACTGTTACGCATATTAAGATGCCTAGCACTTCCTCCATTGTTTTCAAGATGTTGCTATTTATTTCCCAACGTTCTATATCTTACATATCCTTCTCCACAGCAAACACTGATGCAAAATACTCATTTAGTATTTCCCCTATCTCCTGTGGTTCCACACAGAGGTGGCCTTATTGATCTTTAAGGGGCTGTATTCTCTCCCTAGTTATCCTTTTGTCCTTAATGTATTTGTAGAATCCCTTTGGATTCTCCTTAACCCTATTTGCGGGAGCAATCTCATGTCCCTGTTTTGCCCTCCTGATTTCCCTCTTAAGGGTACTCCTATTGCCTTTGTACTCTTCTCGGGATTCACTCGATCTCTGCTGTCTATACATGACATATGCTTCCTTCTTATTCTTAGCCAAAACCTCCAATATGTGTAGTCTTCCAGCAGTCCCTACACCTACCAGCTTTGCCCTTCACTTAACAGAAATGTACTGTCTCTGGACTCTCTGCTCCATCCCGGTCTCTTCCCCCCAACTTACTGCGTTCTCTTTTGGTTTCAGTGAAAATATAGCTATTAATTCTTAGACAGTGTCACACCGTAGTGTCTGTATAGAGACTGAGCTATTTAACAGTCACCAGAGTTGCCAATTTGAAAAGAATCTTACAGGTTGATTTTAACAGTTGTGTTTTCCCAGACCTTACAATTAGTTTAAAATTTAAGGTAAGAAATTGTTACAGCCTGGTTACCTCCTTCCTGCTTGGAATGAATATCAGCACAACAGACGCTGTCATTTTTGTCATATTCAGTCAGGTGTAACTCTCTGTCCTTTCAACATTCATTAATTGCAGCAATCCACCTCTTGGTAATATTCCTAATAAACACAGGCAAATAAATATGGTCACATTCAAGCCTTGTGTCAATGGAGATCGCTGTATATTGACGATGGAGAAAGTTAGTCAATTGGATGACAAGGAAGTCTTGCTGTTTTCTGAATGAAGGGATAGGCTGATCAAGCGACCAATGGCAGAGAAGGTGGAGGGTAGGACAGTTGGAGGTGGGAGGTCATCTGACGACCCTTTCCTGGAAGACATCCACCAGAGAAAAAGTGGTGTCAGGGAGCCCCAGCAACGCTGGAACTGGTGGGAAATGGGGATGGGGGGGGGCACAGAGCTCTGCACTTGAGTGGGGTCAGACCTGGCACAAAGAAAGTTGGCTGTGGTTGTTGAAGGTCAATCACCTCGGCTACAGGTCATCGCTGCAGGGGGCACCCCAAATGTGGTGTTCTGGCCTATTGGCTGCTTTGTCAGTGGCTTTCCCTCCATTATGGGGTCCTAGGTGGGAAGTTTGCTGGTGATTGCATCATGTTCAGCATTGTTCGGGTCTGGTGGGTCCTGCAGTGTCCAGGCTTGGGCTGATACAAAATGGAATGCACTGTCTGGGAGGGCAGTAGAGGCAGGAAATCTCATAACTTTCAAAAAAAAGTATGCGGATGAGCACTTGAAATGTCATAACACTCAAGGCCATGAGCCAAGTGCTGGAAAGTGGGATTAGTGAAGATAGGTCAGAGCAGACTTGATGAGTGAAAGAGCTTTTTCTATGCAGTTTGTCTCTATAAAGGGAAGAAGAGCATTTATGAAATGTTTTACAGTCCCACTGGACGTCTGAGAGCACTTTATGGCCAACAAAATACCTTTGAAAATGAGTCAATATTGTAAAGTGGCAAATGCAGCAGCCAATTGTGCACAGCAAACTCCCACTAACAGAAGTAACTACGAGCCGGAACTGACCCAGCACTGTGCCAGCAGCTGTTGGGTCTCACTTTCTGCAGCAAATTAGAGTCGGAGAGTATTAGGCAGCTATAGGGCTTTAACAGTTGCCCATCATTTACCCTGGGAGAGTGAGTGTGATCCTGGCAATGCCACTGGTGCTCCAGCTCACCAGCACCCTGTGGTGCTGACCTTATCAGGGTTCTCAATGTCAGTGGCAGGACATCTCAATTTGCACAGGGTCAGCAAGCACTATATCTGTCCGCCAAACCCATTCTCAGACCATTTAGTAGAGAGGAAGAAGTTATATGCAGCTCTTATGTATTTAGCCCTTTCCTATTCATGTACTTGTCCAAATGTCTTTTAAACATTGTAACTGTACCCGCATCCACCATTTCCTCTGCCAGTTCATTCCATATACACACCACCCTCTGTGTGAAAAATTGCTCCTCAGGTCTCTTAAATCTTTCCCCCTCACCTTAAATCTATGCCCTCTAGTCTTGAATTCCTCTACCCTGGGGAAAAGACCTCGGCTTTTCGCCTTATCCTTGCCCCTCATGATTTTATAAACCTCTACACAGGCACGCCTCAGCCTCCTACACTACAGGGAGAAAGGGCCCAGTATATCCAGCCTCTCCTTGAGCACAGATGAAGGGTCTGTATCTGTGCTGTATGACTGAATGACTCCGTGCATACACACACACACACCCATACACACTCGTATGCACACAGACACACACACAGACGCATGCACCCACACAAGCACACGCACACAGGCACACATACATGCAACACGCACATACAAACACATAACGCACACACATAAGCACATGCACATACACATGTAAAAACACACACATATACATGCACTCACGAATATACACACACAGACTTTCATCATGGCTGGACTTCAGAGGAGGAGTCCCATTCCCACCAATTTCCACCTGTCTGGCTGTGGATAAGAGGTCCTGTGAGAAGAACAGAGGTCTTCTCCCTGTAGCCTGGCCAAGATTTATCCCCCTCTCTTATCCATCAAATTCCAACCAATAGCACAGAGAGGCAGATTAACCTGTTATTCGGATTTGTGCTGTTGAGGAGATCTTGCTGTGTGCTGTTTAACTGCCCTGTTTCCTACATCACAGCGGTGGCTATCCTTCCAATGCACTTTGTTGACTGTGGAGGGCTTTTGGATGATGATACAGACGATATATAAATGTGCATTGTTCTATTACATTGGTCTGTTTCTGTGCTGGAAACTGCACTCCACCAAAAAGCTCTACCCTTATGTGTGTACTTCCACACAGGCCTCCTCCCACCTCAGTTCAGCTCACACCCTTTCAACATATCCTTCTATTCCTTATTCTGTTTCTCGTGCTTATCTAACTTCCTCCTTTATGCTCCTAGTATATTTGCCTCAGCATCTGCCTGTGGTGGCAAGTTCCACAATCTAACCACTCTCTGGTTAAACGGTATGTGTGCGTGTGTTAGTTAAACAAAACAGGAGACGTTAAGAAATAATTTAACTGCTGCATTTACTAACTGCTAGGACTGTTTTATTTTGGTGGTGGCATTTTGGCGGCAAAAGATTAAGCTGCATTACTTGAATTATTGGCATACCACAGACCAAAAGAACTTTTAATCAGTGCTTTTTCCCTTTTAAACTACTTGCTGTTTCTGAAGGGCATGTGCTTAGTGACTGGTGTTCACTTGGTTAAGTGTTGACAGCACTGAAGGCACTTGATTGCCTTTTCTTAATTCTGTCCTTTCATGAATGCAAGTTCAGAAATCATGTTACACTCAGTGTTGTCCTGGGTACATTCTGCTTAACTGCAAACTTTCTCAATTTCTGAGGCAAAATCTTGCTGCATTTGAGGATTATAGTCTTTCTTGTGTGTTCCCCCGATAACCTCGGTCTACTACAGTCAGACCCAGAAGGATAAATCGAACGGCTCCACATTTGTTACATTGAGTCACTATTGAAGCATAGCTGCCCCCGAGAGCATAGTTTCTGCTGGTTATAGCTGCTTTTTTGTCCCCTTTACTGTCCTACGGGTCCACTTACATTACAATGGCACCTATCCCCTGACGCAACAGGAAAGAAAGGAATGGGTTACTATGAAGGCTTCATCGTTGTCTTAGCAATGACCTCTGCACTGCACAGTGGACAGCGCCAGTGAGTTGGGCAGATGGTTACTCCAATGATCAATTGAACCGAGACCTTATGCTAACTTATTTTATTTGTAGATAATGGGTAAATCATTGCCCCACCCATCCCCACTTTGTCTTAGAATGTTCAGCTAGGGGCTACGTGACCTTTCCCCTCTTGACTCATCACCATGGCGTCAGCTCTGGATGCTCGCTGTTGGTCACCTCTTCCTAATGTTTTAATGACCTAATTTGTCTGTCTGTTTATCATTACAGTGCCCACATGCCTTCAGTCAACAGGATATCAGCAGCCGGGAAGTAAGAGCACTTTTTCTTCACTTTTCTTTCAAAAGGAGAGGGTTTATTTACCAATTGGATGTGCACTCGAAAGAGGAGACAGTGGTGTTGAGAAAGGGAGAGAGGGAGTGAGTCTGATTGACTTGCTTTTTTGAAAAGCCAGTAAAAGCACGAAGGGCTAAATGGTCCTTTTTTAATTCTTATGTGGGATGTAAGCATTTGTTGCCCGTCCCTAATTGCCCCTTGAGCTGTTTAGCTCTGTAGGCATTTTCAAAAGGCCATTTGGAGTCAATTACATTGCTACTTGTCACACGTAGGCGATAAGGACGGTATATTTCCTTCCCCCAAAGGGCATTTGTGAACCAGATGGGATTTTGAGAAAGTTGTTACGTGATTACCATTAAATCAGGTTAATTCCAGAATACAGATTTCACCATCTGCCAGTGATGGGATTCAAGCCCATGCCTCTAGAGCATTAGCATGGGCCCTCACTAGTTCACTGACCACCACCACCACCACTCCTTCTGTGACGATACGCCCCACTCGAGTTTTCTATTTGACGGTGGCGAGGTGGTTCATCTCAATGACCAACCTTGTCTGTGATGATGGAGCACAGAGTGAGCAGGCACAACCAGAGACGCAAAGCCCCCTCACCCTCCCATTCTCAAAAAATGCACATCGGTTTGAAAAAGGCTAGCCCCCAACCCCCACCCGACCCTGAAATCCCTCTGCCTTCTTACAGCTCAGTAAATGACAAAAGAAAACAATTCTCAAGTGAAACAAAACAAACATTTCACGACTCCATGTTTGAATTAGTTCAGTCATTAGTTGAGTTATGAGCTACGACAGTTCCAAGTTCGATGCCAGGGCTTTTCCAAGTTGGGCAATATAAGACCATAAGACCATAGATATAGGAGCAGAATTAGGCCATTCGGCCCATTGAGTCTGCTCCATTATTCGATCGTGGTTGATATGTTTCTCAACTCCATTCTCCTGCCTTCTCCCTGTAGCGCTTAATCCTCTTAGATATCAAGAACCTATCTATCTCTGTCTTAAATACACTCAATGAGTTGGCATCCACAGCCTTCTGTGACAATGAATTTCACAGAGTCACCACCCTCTGGCTGAAGAAATTCCTCCTCATCCTGGTTCTAAAGGGTGATCCCTTCACTCTGAGGCTGTGCCCTTGGGTCCTAGTCTTTCCTCCTACAGGAAACATCTTCTCCACATCCACACGATCCAGGCCTTTCAGTATTCTGTAAGTTTCAATCAGATCGCCCTCATTATTTTTAAACCTCCACTGAGTTCAGACCCAGAGTCCTCAATCACTTCTTGTATGACAAGCCCTTCATTCCCAGGATCATTCTTGTGAACCTGGACCTCCTCCAAGGCCTGCACATCCTTCCTTAGATACAGAACCCAGAACTGCTCACAATATTCCAAATGTCTGACGCAGCCTTATACAGACTCAACAGTACATCTCTGCTCTTGTATTCTAGCCCTCTCAAAATGAATGCTATATTATAGATTCAGTCCAACCCCATAATGGAAGTACGCTGTATATAGTTGGCATTAGGGAAGGCAATATCAGAAAGGCACTTCATGCTGATCATGACAGCATTCATAATATCTGCTAATAATGTTTCATTGTCAAGCTCTGCACTTCAATATAACGGTGCTCAGATAAGCAGCGCAAGGCCATATTCCTGAACTAAGCTCCTGTATTGGTTTTGTAACTAGAGATGGTTATCTTGTGCATTGTTGACATGGTTAAGTTTATCAGGCACTAAGTCTTAACGGCCAAGAAGCTATCTCTCAACTGCCACGTCTGCACATTTTGTTAACTCTTCTGAGGTTGTGCTCACTAGCTTCAGTTTCTCTGTCAGATTGGAAACTGGGAGACAGCTGAGACACAACCACAACCTGTCTGTTGCCTGTAGGGACATAGAGTAGCAGCTGCCCCACGCTGTCCCAGTGTCCAGTACAGCACAGCCCTTCTACTATTCCCCCACATTCCCCTCCCCAGCCAAACAAAAAATATACCGAACTCCTGACTTGATAAGAACATGACAGGAGGCAGGCAGCAGAGCTGAGGTGAAAGGTCGCACAGCCGTTATTACTGTTTCCTGACTGTACCTCTTGTCATTGATCCACAAAGTGCCCGTTATTGGATTGTGTGTTTGGCTCTTACCCTTATTCACAACTATTGCAGTGGAGCTTTCCTGCCTTAACATAAAGATTGATTTGGTCACTTACTTTTCAGTTATTCATTAATCAATAAATTCTTCAGGTGCTTGGGTCTGTGTGTGTGTGAGTGTGAGTGTGAGTGAGAGACTATGGGTGTGTCCACATGAGTGCATATAGGGGTACATGAACATGTGTGTGTAAATTAGTGCAAGTCTGCTTATGTATGCATATTCGGGTGACTACATGCTTGCATGTTAATGTGTGTGGGCACATATATGTGGTATGTGTCACTGTGGGTATGTGTTTCTCTTGAACTCATTTCAGCTTTGATTGAGGTGCAGATTTGTTTATTGAAGGTGTAATTTGGGAAGGAAGCTAAAGGGAGTGAGGTGGAGTAATTGATGTCAGCTGACATCACTTTAAAGGGCAAACTGCTGGTGTGTAGTGTTGCTCAAGAAGCACTGTGCTGTGTTTGCAGCCTTATAGAAAGGGCTATCCGATCTGCAGTTGAACAACACCTCTTTGATGTTCATGGTAGTGGAAGTCAAAGTTCAGAGGAATCTGAAACGGCAACATCTTCGTCTACAGCAGCAGTCTCTGCGCGACAGAGAAGGAGACATCTAAAAGAGCAGGATGAATACTGGAGAAGCAAGGAAGTGTAAGGCTGTTTACTGTTCTTTTACTAGAGTGCACCCCTGGTATATTAGACACAAGGTTTTTCACAGTGTCTGAAATAAGGATAGATCCCAATTGAATCTTGATGACAAATCACTGCCTATTTGAGTGTATAAAACTACAAGGTCTGTTTATGTGTGTAACATATAACTCGACTGGTTGGTAAATTACTGTGTAAGACTGATATGATGTAGGCTGTTCTTTGTTGGTTTAAAGCAAGGGTGGGTTTCTTCCTCCATTTCAGTGATAGGTCTGCAGTCCACTCGAGCCTTTTTGTTAACCAAACTAATGAGACAATGCTAGCCATTCCCTGCCCTTGTGTGTCCCCACACCAATATCAATCCTGCCACCCCAACCCCTAGCCCCATCTCCAACAATATGGTTAAATCAGCAGACTTTGTCTGTGTAGCTCATAGTCTGTGTGGGTTTGCTTTGTTCTTGTTGCCTTCAGCATGACTTCTGTAAACTCCCAGGACTCATACCAACTGTGGTTATCAGGGCAAGGTCAAGGCCAGCCCTATTGGCTCCCACCTGTTGTTGTCCTGGACTGTTTCCATGGAGAAGTGACCCAGGAATCTCTCCCACTCTTGCTATCTGCCTTCTGTGTGCTTTTTTTTTGGAGGATTTGCAAGTCAGTCCTTGATTCAGAGTTAAAGTGACTTAGTGTTTTTGTTCAGTCCTTGACTTGTTTGGTCACATTCTGAGCACACCTTCCTTGATGTCAAATCTCAGAGTGAGACTTGAACCCAGAGCTTCTATCTCAAAGACAGGGGACACTATCCACTGTTACAAGACCTCCTTATTTGCATCACCACTCAACTTAACTTATCTATCCTTGCTCTGCATCACTTGCTATCCTTGTCCAATAAAAATCAATTCTAGTCAGTCTTGATTATTTAAGTCGCTCTCACTATCACTGCCCATTATTGTAGCATTTTAGGGTGAGAGAGTCACAGATTTCTACTGCCCTTCCATGAAGGAGTATTTCCTGATTTCACTGCTCAAAATCCCAGCCCTAATTCTTAAATTCAGGACTTGCAAAATGGGATTGAGACCCCAAGTAGGGTCATGAGCTGAATTTTTGGGGTCAGGAGCTCTGAGGCAGCAATAGTCAATACTCCTCACTGCTGTTGCAGGTCTCCATC